AAAAAAAAAAAAAAAAAAAAAAAAGTGGGTGTGTGTTTTCCATCTTTCAAGATACAAATCTTATTTTACTAAAACTGAGATTCGATCACAAAGAATGAGATCCTGCCATTTGCAACAATGTGGATTGAACTTGAGTGTATTATGTTTAGCAAAATAAGTCAGAGAAGGACAAACATCATATGATTTCACTCATATGTGGAATTTAAAAAACAAAGCAGATGAACATAGGGGAAGGGAAAGAAAACTAAGAGAAAGATAGAGAGGGAGACAAAACATAAGTTTGTTCTCTCTGAAACAGAACAAACTGAGGGTTGCTGGAGGGAAGTAGGTGGGGGATGGGCTAGATGGGTGATGTGCAGTAAGGACGGCACTTGTTAGGACAAGCACTGGGTGTTATATGTAAGTGATGAATTGCTGGGTTTTACTCCTGAAACCAATACTACACTGTATGTTGACTAACTTGAATTTAAATAAAGTTTTCTAAGGAAAGGAAAATAGGAAATTTTGCTTCTGGTATGTGTCTAATTTTGAGGATGGGGTAGAGATGGGAGAGAGACATATAGAGGCTGGCAAAAAAAGTGTTTAGCGGACTTAAAGCGTATATTTTATTTTAGTTTTTTTAATATTTATTTATTTTTGAGAGAGAGAGACAGACAGATGGTGAGCAGGGGAGGGGCAGAGAGAGAAACAGAGACACAGAATCCAAGGCAGGGTCCAGGCTATGAGATGTCAGCACAGAGCCCAACGCGGGGCTTGAACCCATGAGCTGTGAGACCTGAGCCAAAGTCAGACACTTAACTACTGAGCTACCAAGGCACCCCTTAAAGTGTGTATTTTAAATTTAAGACTGTTTACAATGAAAATAAACATTTGGCACAGGTAAAAAATGAACTAAAATAAAACCAGGGTAAGGAGAGAGGGTAAAGTTGCCAGACTAGGGATGTTAACAGTGTGCTTCCTACTTTCTGTATGTTTACCAAACTTTCTCCCCAAGAAAAATCATGTTAAGTTACAGTAATACCGTAATTTCCCAACAGGTAATTCACAATGGACAAAACTCCTAAGCTGACCCAACCTCTCTCTAATATGATGGAAAGGCTTAGCCTTTCCCCAGAAAATCTGGGCTAGTTAACTCTTCAAGGTCTTATAATGTGGCCACGAAAGAGCAATCCATGGACAGGAGCACAGAATGGCCCCTGCTTTCGGGAAGGATGTCTCCTGTCTTGTAATCATAGACTACCAGAACCCTGGCTGCCTGTCACACAAAACAGATGGGTGAGAAGGTGCAGATGCTTCCAGAAGCAATGAAGGAAAACAACAAGAACAACAAATGCCAGATAAATAATCCACACTGCAAGTTTGGTTTTATAATTGCTGTATAGGAGCACTTGACTGTTGGTTCAGGATGAATCCCATAAGTGGGAAATGTCATGTGCCCATCAGTGAGATTGAGCCACTAAGGAGGCTAGGACACAGTGAGGCAGGCATCAGAGCCAAGTTCTATGCCTAGAGGGTCATAAGCAGGTCATGAACATGGGGAAGTTATAGTGGGTGATATCCTTGGAATGAGGGCTTCTGGTCTGAAAACCTTGGGATAACATTCATTCCCCCCAGAAAACTGGTGAACATTTTGCAGTATTATTGATAAGACCAATCCATAAACCTATATTTTGAAAGATCATGGGGAATATTGATACACAGATGAAATACGAAAGGATGAAGGACACTATCTCTCAAAAGCAACGCCAACAATAATAATATTTCCAACACATAACATATGTAATTCTCTATAATTGAACAATCACTTTATCATTTACATTATCAGGCAGGATAATTTCACAACTTCTAGCCGAGGAACAGGAAATACATTTATTTGGAAAATCTAGAGGATGTGGGTTGAAAATAACACTAACCTGTCATTATGTAAAATGAGAATGGAAAGTATCTCCAAGTGGCCCTGCAGCCCCAGCATAGGCACAGGAGCACCTGCCCCCAGGTAGGCTGAGGGGGGCAGGGAGGGGAGGTTTGTTGGAGCTTTTTCATTTCTGGCTTTTGTAGAGCTAATAGGAGGATGGGGAGGGAGATTTTAAGGAACAATAGGTTATGTAGAAGCTAATCACAGGGTGTATTTCTGGCTCTATTCACTGCCTGGGAAACCTGAATTGTGTAAGTTTGAGTCCATCAACACAGAGTAATGAAAGAATTCAGCTCCTACATGGGAGAGAGGAAAAATACTATATAAATATACTAACAGAACCCACATGACCTGGATTGCAATGTTCTCTACGGAAACACTGCAGACCTAATGGATCCTCAAAAATCAAACAGGGTGGATTAGATGTTACCTCCCGAACCCATGCCCCCCCTCCCCATCTCAAACCATAAGCCTCATGTTCTATATGCATCCTGGTAGGAGTCCAACATTCATCAAAATGTCTTGTATCTAGAATCTCAGCTCGTATATCTTCGCTAAAAACTTGACCTGCTGTAATAACCTGCCCAATGCTCTGCTCTGCTCGGCATTTGGTAGAAAATTCCTTTTGGAGATCTGGTTGCCTTTGGCTCTTTCTTCTTTTTCCTTGGAACAGATTGTTTCTATCGTCTCAAGAGCAAAGAAAAGTCTCAAACGAAGACTAGATATTAGCTTCTCAGAGATAAAACACAAAGGTAAACAATGGAATTCTAAGCGCAAATACATGACTAAAATGAGAAATGCAAGAACTTCCTTGAATTAATGCTATGGAGTTTGGAGCTCGGGAAGGTAGTAGAAGATGGAAGATAACTTTTACTTTGAATCAAACTGTGAAAAAAATATACAGGAGTCCAACAAAACAGCCCCTTCTCAACTTTCCTTTCCTTCTTTCCCTATTCTTTACTCTAACACCAATGAGATTCTCATGGCTTTGAAGCCAAAGGGTGTATCTGACTCCTTTCTGTAGCCCTGGCATGTGCAGTAACTGTTGGTGGGAGACAAGTTTCAGAGTAAGGATGAGACTTGCCAAATGACCGGCATCAAGAGCTGCTTTCTTCTTATATTTCTCGAGTTCCAGGGTCAGCAAACTATATTCTGGAACACGTTTTTGTATAGCCCATAAGCTACAAATGTTTTTACATTTTTGAATGGTTGGGGGACAATCTATGAAGAACGATATTTTGTAACACATTAAAATGATAGGACACTCAAATTTCAATGGCTATAAATAGAGTTTTGTTGGAGCATGGCCACATTCATTGACCTACTGTCTATGGCTGTTTTCACTGTACAACACAGTTGAGAAGTTGCAATAGAGATCTAGTGGCCCGCCAAGGCTGAGATGTTTACTAGCCAGCCCTTGATAGAAAAAGTTTGCTGATCTCTGCTCTCATTACTCTTCTCACATTTTCCTAGCCGTCCGGTTTCCAAAAATGACAGTGTGTTTCCCCATATGCCACGATGGCCAGACAACAAAAGGAACACACATGGAGCCCACTTCAAGTGCACAGATTTGGGGAAGTCGGGAGGGGCAGAGGTAGTTTAGTAGTTCGAAGGTCCCTGCTATCCAACCTGCTAGGGGTCTGGCAGGTCCCCTCGCATTTGGGGAAACCAGTCAGGTGAGTTTCCCATTTTCCAACTCAAGCGGAGTCAGATTCATCTACCCTGCACTTTGAGAATCCACATCGACCATGAGCAATTCCTTGAAGCTGTCAGTATGTGCTGCAAATCCACCCTGAGAGAGCCCGCACAAGACAACAGATTAACCATTAGACTAGATATGTTGAAAATATACAGCTTCAACCTTTCCCCAGCTAGCTCAGAGCGATATATAGATGATTATTTCAACCGTCAGCTGCCGCATAGATTTAAACCCCTGCACAATAACTCCTGGATTCATCTGCCCCTTGTCAAACTTGCACGGCTTTAGTTGGAGGATACATGGTGTGGCAGTTTCACTGTGAATCCAGAATGATCCAGACGGCTGCTGTCTCTTTGTTAACAGGAAGCCAAACTGATGAGTTTGTAATGCATTTCTTATCAAAGGTAGTTTCAGAAAAGAAAATGTGCCCCATCAGTTTGGTTAGAATTTCACATATAGTAGATTATGGGCTTAATCAGAACATCTCTGTTATTTTCATGAGGAAATAGATAATTCTGTATCCATCCCATTAAAATCACTTTATACTGATGAATTATGTATTTATAAATTTATAATTATCTTTGATTTTTTTCCCCTCCTTTCAGGATACTTAATAAAATCATCAGCTAGATCCCAGAAAACAATGGTACTTCATAGACACAAGCATGCTAATATATTTTTTTTAAGTTAATGCCGATCTTTTTGAGCTGTGTGTCTAGAATGATCATAGTGAATAAAGGGATTGTAATTTTCAACTCGTATGTTTAACAAAGACAAAATGGACTGTAATGGAATTTATGGAGCCTGTAAAGGAACTCTTTCTCTAATATGGTTTATTATCAAATAGATTTGGACTTACTGTAGGATAAATCAGGCCCCACTGAAATGTATCTGGAGAAAATGACTATAAGG